CATCAAGAGATTCAGTTGCTCTGTCAAGGTTATCTCGAAATTTGATCTCAGGTCAATTCACTGTTTCCTTAAAATACACAGTGGAAATAATAAATGCACCGCTTCATATGATACCTCAGTGTCACACAAAGCCTAATGCCTCTCCCCATCCCCAGATATCTTCATTTAGTTACTCCCTTCTTTTCTCTGCTGGTCTAAATCTGCAGACTTGCACGTGCAAACAGAGACTGGGACAAACACCTAAGCAGTTAATAAACACAAGAAGGGCCACCAAGATTTGCTGACAGCACTAAACAAACACCTCATGTTATGATGCTGCTGTGATAAGTCTTGAAGATCAAATTCCTTTTGAAATATGAAGGGATAGAGACAAGGCAGAACAAACTTGCTTGAAATTTCAAAGAATTTAAGTAAACAGACTAATCAGGCCAGCAAGACGACTGGTGAGAACAGACTGATTTAGGGAGGAAAACCACACAGCAAGACAGCCATTCTGGTGTCCAGCTCAAAGCCTCTGCTGTCACTAAGCCAAGCAATTTCTATTTTCAGTGGGCCGTGCCTAGAGATGAGTATCACACACAGTTATTAAAGCAAATTCCTGCATTCAGATGTGCTCTCCGAGCCACACTGTCAGTGCACACAGACACACAACCGACACCACAGCATCTTCAAACCTGCCTGCTACTTCCACATTTTGTTTGTGTAGCAGTAGTGTCTCTATTTTAAAGCCCAGATCAGCTGTTAAGCTTTACTCCATCTAGTCTCATCCTCTGTCCAACGTGTAAAACTGCCGTAGCCAACATCTGCCTAAATCACACAAACGCAGTGGAACAATTGCTTAAAAATTATTTACACTAGGTGGATGGAATCATCTGAAACAGAATTTAAAGCTCATTAAACAGCTCCTTGACAAATATTTGTCAGCATTTCTCATTTGTAATTAATTATATTGGGCTTTACCTGATGATAATTCAGCATGGTCTCAAAACAGACAAATGCCTGTGTGCTGAACAGAAATTAGCTCAGCAAATGCACAGTGAGAAATTGTGACAGTTTTATGAAACAAGAATTCCCATTTAAATGCAAGTCCCCCTGCTTCCTACCCCACTTCTATCTGTGCTTTATAAATATCTGTGTCCCATTTCAGGCTTGTCAGATGAACTGCCTGATTTGAAGCTAAACAAACATCCGCAGAAAAAAACTCATTACCTTACTCAGTGTTCAGAAAACCTGAAACCAACTGCTTACTCCATAGGGATGGTCAGAGCTGACTCAGGAAACATAAAGTACTTCCCAGGCTTTAAGCTATCTTAACATTCAGGTCAGATTTCCTTTCTCATCACAGTAAACCATCTTCACCATGGCACGTCAACAGCCACATCACGACAGCCTCCTGCCCGGAGTCCTACGCACCAGGGGGTAGGAGGGAGACAAACATCTCAGAGAAATCTCACCTCACCACAGAGCTCTGCAGAAACCTCCTTGCCAGCACTGCCAGAGCACATCACAGAGAAAGTCACTCCAATGGACTGATTTATCACATTCTGAGAAATGACCTTTCCCTGTCAAACTGGTGTCTAAAATGCCCACCTGGGTTTGGAGAACGTCACGCTATTACTGTTGGTAACAAACACACCAGCAGTGCAGCACAGGCTACTCCAAGCCTGGCAAAGCAGTCAGCTTGATAAGCCACCAGTCACCCTAACACGTGGACAGAGCACCTGTGCCTTCCTCCCTTCACAGCCTGGGAGATTTGGGGAGGTCAGTAACTGCTCTGGAGTAAACCACAGAGCTTGCTGCTGTTAGTCCCAGAAGGCCACTCATGGGAGAATCTGGTGAAGCAGATCAAATTGCAGGACCACATCTCAGCTGCTTACCTACAGATTTAGGGCTGCTTTCTGAAGGTCAAGGCTTCAAAATGCTCCCCCGTGTAGGGGCCAGGCCCACATTGCACACAGCTACATAGAAGTCCTGCAAGGCCAGGTAAGGATCACTCTGGCCACATCTGCAAGGACACTGGAATGGCTCAACTGTCACTCCAAGAAAAAAAAATCCACAATGAGACACCGCTGTCTTCATTTAACTCCCTCTTCCCCTGCATTCCCCACACAAACATTAGAGACACCAAGGTATGGGGCACCATAAACACAGAGACAGATGACTATAAGCAATGGCCTCTGTTTCCACACCACTTTACACTTGAGAAGCATGAGAAGGCTACTGACACCTGGACATAAAAGCAGTTCCCAGAGTGGGAGCTGGTTAAAGTTTTGCTTCAAGGGATGGGAACTTTTATCAACACAACCATAACAGACTGAATGACTCCTCCTGAGGCTACAGCAGCCATGGGATGTGTGTTCTTGTGCAGCACCCGTGTCCCCTTGCCATCTATGAGCTTCACACAACCTGGTATTTTACACAGGCTGGGCTTTTTCAGTCACCCCAACAAAAAGCATTTCATAGAGGACAGGTGAAGCTGTATGGAAGTTCTTGCTCCTGTTTGCAACTTGATACAGCATGCATAAAAAGATCCTGGAGTGACACCTCACACTCAGCCAACTCACACCCCTACAAGTGCCCTCAGAAGCAGAAACTCAGCCCTGTCCCTCCACAGTGGCTGTTCCCTCCTGCATGAGCCACCACCTACCTCTGTCCCCTCTTCCGAGCCATGGGTTTAGATCTTTCAGTGGTGAAGGTGTTCTGCACTTTCCTTCTCACAGTTTTTCACATCAAGCAGACAAAACACTGTCTCTGCACACTTTCAGCTGTGCTAAGCCTAAGAAAAGGCTGAAGCTCAAGCACAAAGCCTGGGCTGGGACAGTCTTGTTAACATGCACAACAACTTGGGTGTAAGCATCTTCTGGAACCTCAGGAAAGCCTCCACATCCTCACACGAGCTGGGGGTAGACCCAGAGCATGAGATGTACAAATATCAGGACAACTCTTCACAGCACCCAAGGCTTCTTGTCTCAACTCAAGCACATTAACACCTAAACATCTCACCAAGGCTGAGATATCTCACTCCACCAGCCACTCACAAACTCCTCGCCAACACAAGAATCACAATAAAAACTTGAGGCTGCTACACGCAATGCACACAGTAATTCCTGCCACACTGGGCTTGTGCCTTAGACACCTTCATCTCCCTCTGATCCTCAGAAACAAGTTTCTCAACATACATATGGAGCTGCAGGAAAAAGCACCTAACAACAATTTTGTGACATTATTTCTCAACACAGCATGAAATCGTTAGGTCAAAATGTGCCACCTATCACATGAACATTAAAAGTATGTCAAGTCTCAGTGTGCAATCTATTGTTTTATCTGAATGTGATATTAGCTGACAGAACTGGGTAATGTTTCTGCACTCCTTCTTAGTGATATAGGATTACGAGAGGATGCAAGTAGTAGCCATTCTTGGCTTAGCAAAGAGAGGAGAGTGCAGCAATTATTTTCAAGTGGAAAATAAACAAATAAGAAGTGAAACAGAATAAAGACATTCTCTAAAATACCCTACCAAGTTCTGCCCATAAAACTCACTCTTCATTTCCCCTCCAAAAAGGACTACAGCCAAAATCTCGAGTCCATATTTCCATAAAACCCTTAATGACATGAACTGGGGCTTTGTTTGAGGAAGAACGGAATTTTGTCCGAAACAGAAGCATACAAAACGCACTCTTGCCAACAAACATGTATTCACACTTTTCATCTGTCTAGTTTGAGCAGGACACTTGTGGATGGGCTCACCAGGTGAGAAATGGTGGATAAATTGAGTCTGGACATTACCTCAGCATTTGCTCGTTATTGCTTACACCAGTCTAACATCAACCATGTGGAGGTTTGTTGGAGTGAACAAATCCTCCCTTCAATTACACCACAGCCTCTGTCAGAAGCTGTAGTCTGGATGGACACAGGTGTAACCAAAGACAAAATGAGGCTACAAAAAAAAAACCAAAAAACCAACAAACCAAAAACAAGCACCAAAAGAAAAAAAAAAAAGAAAAGAAAAAAATACTAACCTGAAAATGCCACTAAGTATTCCTGACTAAATATTTAAACAGCTTAAGAGCTACACAGATTTTTTTTTTTTTGTTAAACAATCAGCTTCACCTCCACATTTATTTTGACAGTTCGTCATCGTTCCAGTTGTGATTCCAGTGCAACATAAACCCAAATAAATCCGCTTTTCGCCACAGCAAACTTCTCCGGATCAGAAGTTATAAACAACAAAGCCCTTCCAACACACGGGGTGGAGGTTCCCCTCGCACGGCAGCATCACCAGCACGGCCCCGGCCGGGCTGACAGCGGTCCCACGGTCGCGAGTGGGTGGGCAGAGGGGACACGGCGAGCCGGGCCCGGGCCGGGCGGGGAGAGGAGAAGCCCCACGGGCGACGCTTCCCTCGGCCCGGCCCGGCCTGGGCTCCCCCACCATCTGGGGGGGGGGGACTCGAGCCGCCCACCGCGGAGCCCACTCGTGACATGCCAGCAGGGAGCGCGACAGGACGGGCGCCCCCGACTCCGCACCACGAGCGAGAGAGGAAAGGCGCACACACACACACACACACACACACACGCACAGCCCGACCCCCCGCCGCCCCGCGGACACGAGTGGGCGGCCCCGCCGGGCCACGGCGGCGTGAGAAAAGTTTGATCCGTGGGAGGAGAGGGAAGGGAAGCGCCGCCGGGGGACCCGCGCACAAAGTCCCCTCTCCCGGCGCGGGGGGATGCGGGGCCGGGGCGGGGGGCACGGCCCCGGTCCCGCCGCCGCCCGCCGGGAGCGGCGCGCCGGGCTGCAGGTGTCGGCGGCGGGAGGGCGGCGGGAGGGGAGCGGGGCACCCCCGGGGCACGGGGAGGGGGCGGCGGGACCGCCCCCGCGGGCACCCCCGGCGGCACGGCGGGATCGGGGGGGTGCCCGGGTGGGCGCCGCGGGGGCTCCCCCGGCGCTGTCCCCCGCACACACAATGAGGCGCACACACAAAGCAGAGCCGCCGCTCCCTTACCTCCAGCGCCTCGAAAGTGACGAAGCTGGACATCGCGAAACCGTCGATAATGTCCTCTTCGGCCGAGGAGGACTCCCGCCGCTTCCTCCGGGGGGGCCGCGGCCGGGACGGCGGCGGGGGCCCATTGTCTTCCTTCTCGGAGCCCGAGGAGGAGAGCGCGGCGGCCCCGGGGGCCCCGCCGGCGGCCCCGCCGCGCCGCCCGCCCTGGGCTCGCCGCTCCCGGTCGCGCTGGGACCGCGATCGCCGCTTCTTCCGAAGCCCGTTGCATCGCGCCGGGCCATCCATGTCTCTCGCCGGCTCTCCCTCTCGCTCTCGTTCCCCCCCCGCCCCACCGCAGCCACAAATCCGGCTCCCCCGGCGGAATAACGGGGGAGGGAGGGAGGGGAGAGAGGGAAGGAGAAAAGGGAGGGGAGGAGAGGACAGCAAGGGGGTGGGGGGGGATGAAAGAATCCGAGTGCGGTTCCACCACCACCAGCAGCAAGCACCAAATGTAAGAGATTCCTATAAGCGAGCCAAGGAAAGTAATGGCTGATCTCAGGTCGCCTTTGTAAAAAAAAAAAAAAAAAAAAAAAAAAAAAAGGAAAAAAAAAAGCCTCACCAAGCAGGCAATAAATCAGAATAGCGGAATGCTTTGATCAAGGGGCTGGGAGGGCGAGGATCTTCGAAAGAGAGGAAAAAAAGCAGAAAAGAAGGGGGGAAAAATAAAGAAAGGAGCCCCGCTGGAAGGAGGGAGCTGAGAGTATTTCCTTGCACAAAATTTATTTTCTTTCTTCCTTTCCTCCCCAACTAAAAGAAGTTCCATGGGGGGGGAAATATATATGTAGATGTACGGAACTCCTTCTGTCTGCGTGTGTGTGTGTGCAGGGAAGGGTGCAGCCTTCCCCTCCCCACCAACACGCACTCCTCTCCCCCTCCTCCTTTATCTCCCTGGATCAAACACAATAATAATAATAACGATGCATCCAGATGCAATTTTCTCAGGCACCGACCAAGGATGGACTCGGGAGTGGAAATCGGATCCCAGCCCGGCCCCTCCAAAACCAAAACCAAACAATAAAAAGAAGGAAAAAAAAAAAGAAAAAAAAAAGAGGAAAAAGGGGAGAAAAAAAAGAGCCCCAAAACACGCCCACCCACCCCAGCTATTAATACGGATCAATCATGGCAAATTCATCGGATTAATTGTAGCGAGGAAGGAGCGGGGGGCTTGTGGGGGTGTGCTGGTGGTGGCGACAATAGATCCGAGCGGGGAGGAGGCGGCGGCCCCCTCCCCAAAAGCGGCGGCGGCAACAACAACAAACGCTGACGCTGAGCCGTGCGGCGGCTCGGGGGCCGGTCGGGGCCGGGGTCGGGGCCGGTGTCGGCAGTGCCGGTCCGGGGGTCCCGCCGAGCCCCGCGCGGGGCGGTCGCGGAGTCGCCCCCAGCGGCCGCGCGCGCGCGCCCCCGCGCAGGTCACGTGACCGGCACCGCCGCCCCGCCCGCTCCGCTCCCGCCGCGCGAAATAAGTCGCGGGCATGCGCGGGGGGCCTGCGCCGTGCGGGCGGCGGCACGCGCTGACCCCCCTCCCCCTCACGGACACCCCTCACCCGCCGGCTCCGCCCGCGGGGGGCCCGGACCCCGAGTGCCCCCAGTGCCCCGGCACCGCTCCGGGCCCCGCCTGTCGGCCAGGGATGTCCCCAGTGGAACGGGCTGCCCTGGGATGCCCCCAATGGAACAGGCTGCCCTGGGTGGTTGTGGAGTCCAAACCCACCAGGACGTGTCCCCATGTTACCTCCTCTGGGAGACCCTGCCTTGGCAGGGGTGTCGGACTGGAGGATCTCCAGAGGTCCCTTCCAACCCCTAACCACTCTGTGATTCCATGACTCCGTGTCCAGCCCTTCGCCTCCTGCCCTGTCTCCTTCCCCCACAGCCCGGGTCCCTCACGGCCTCAGCCGCTGCACCTGCCCCTGCCCAGCCGGAGTGTGAAGCTGTTCAGTCCGGCTGTGGGGAGAAAGCATTAGGAGCAGAGACCCGGGGGAATCGGGAGATTTGTTCAGAAAGGAGAAGGATAGAGGAGGAGCAAGAAACAAGATGGGGAAAAAGAGCCAAACCTGTGGAGTCTCTGCTCAGAACAGGGAAGAGGGGCTCTGGAAGCACAGCACTGGTTTTCCTCCACGTAGCAGATGATCAGGCTATTGTGTAGTTTGAAATATATCGGGAGAGGCTGGAAGAGCAGGAAGAGAAAGTGAAATAATTTAATACTCCATCTCTACAAGAACTAAATCTGCCTCCTGTAGCTGCTAATCATTCCTCCTTTGAGATACCCAGAAGGGCTGCAGCAAGGGGAACACACACAGGCTGAGTGTATTTTTCCAATAGTCTCCCTCTGGGCTACTCTGACTCTTAGGGGATGAGGTTCTGCTTGACTGTGTAATATGTTGTTTACTCTGTACCTTAACTTAGGCCACCAATCAAGTAGTATTTTTAATATATTTTCTATGAGTATTAAGTGATTGTGAGAAATACTGGGAATCAGATACACCCCTCTTTCTGGAAGGCAAGTGACACCTTTGCCACCTCTCTCTCCACACCACATCTCCTGGATGGCATGCAGTGACTTTTAAGCTGGTGTGAAGCAGAAGAGGAGGAAGCACAAAGCTGTCGGTAACCTGATAGTGTGAGAGCGTGTACCTTACAGAAGGCCACGCTGCTTATTGCACAGGCACATGGCTAGTTTTTAAACATTCTCAAATATCGAGCTAGAGAACATCACCTCCTAGATCTGACCTTAGATCTCCCTGTTCAGATTTTGTTTTCTGTTTAACGAATGCATTTCTCTGTTTTACTTTGGGTTCTTCTGTCTCATAGCTGCCTGCCAGATCTATATAATCTGACTATGCAGAAGCTACACCAGTATTGCTGAAGTGATACAATTTGTGTGTATAGCAAGCTCAAATATTACAAGGTCTCTGTCTTCTGAGAAATATTAAGCTATGCTGTGTCAAACAACTGTTACCTGTTGGGTTTTTTGGAAAATAACTGTGTAATTTTCAGGGCAATGTAATTGATTATAGTTTCCTGCATATCCATCACCATTAAAGTGACTGAAGAGACCTGTAGTCGGATACATTTCTGCAGACATTCATTGCATGGCTGAAAGTCTGCTCAGTCTGTTTTCTTCTGGAATGCACGTATGTGGAAAACAGAAACGATACGTGATTTATTTTGCATTCTTTGTAGAAACAAATCACTAGACTTGAATGTCTATGGAAAAAGTAAGATTAAAACCCATCCATCTAGCTCATCCGCTATTGAAAAACATTTTTGTTCTGCACAATATTTATCTCAAGCATTAGAATTCACAGGTCACCTTTTTGGGTACAATACAGGTGAATTATCCTTTTTCTGGGTCTGATCCAGCAGGAGCATTTCCACCAACCTTAACTGATTTGGGAGTATCATACAGATGCTCCAGAAGTTCCCTCTCCAATGGGCTTTTGCCTCCAGCTGAACATTTCAAGTCATCTTATCAGAAAGGATAACACAGACCTCCATGCACATTTGTTCTTAGGCTGCCTGTTAGCTTTTCCTCTAGAAATACATCTTGTCTGGCATCTGGTGTGAGAAAATAGCACGCTTTTTTCCTTTTTTTTTTTTTCTTATAGCACCAGTCTGCTGTGGTACCTTGCTGAGTCACTGTTTTTGAGGTTAATGACTAGTGTACTCAACTGGATACTCAGTAATTAACACCCACGGAAAGGGTACTTCTCGAACATATACTAACAGACCTATAATCTTCTGATTTGAGGCAGATACCAAAAGCTTTCTGTTTCTAAATAATGAAGAGGGAAAGGTTAACACAGACCAAAAGCAAGAATTGCAATTTCCATATCACCATTAAGCATTGGAGCAAAAAAAAAAATTGCAACTGTAAAAACACTAAAAGGGGTTTTCTAAGGACTAGCCCCTGGCATACCTAACCGGAAAGGATATTTTGACATAACTTGAATATCATGAGGTAATTCGTTGCTTGAGGAAATGGCAAGAACTTCGCTTCTAGCGAGAGTAACTTGCACTGCGCTTTGGCATTAAGCTCCAGGGATGGAATTTTTGTGGAGTTCAGGCCACATAAGAATCTCAGCAGAGGCAAATGTACCCTTCTAGGGTTAACATCCTTTTATGAGATGGGTAGCTTAAAATAGCAGAATGTATGTCTGTCTTTCAGACTTTTTTTTTTTTTTTTTAATTTTAGAAGGAGTTCAATCTGGGAATGCAAAAAAACCCCAAGAGAAAATGGGAAAAAGAGCCTTTTAGTTATTATTTCCACCCTGCTCATACAGTGCATGTGTAAGAATAGCAAATAATGACAACCAAAATTCTAATACAAAATAAAAGGCAGGGCGGTTGTGTGGATGGCAGAGGAATGTAAAACAGTTCCACAAAACTAAACCAATTTTCTCCAAATTGAATTGCTTATCCGAATTGTATTGCTTATCAGAGAGGATTGTCTGGCTTCGTAGCTGAGGCTGCACTGGTTGTTTTAAAAGGTGTTTTCCGACAAGGTGGTTTGAAACAGAAACAGTTACGGAAGAAGGAGCATCCAAAGTTAACCAACAGGAAGACTAGAAAGCAATGACCTTTAAAAAACCAAATAGTTCAAGAATAATGATAAAGGCAGTACCAAAAGGAATTAGTTGAAACCCAGGGGAAGGCAGGTTTTCAGAACAATATCAGGAGAAAATATACAGAGAAGAGACAATAGTTCCTTTCGCAAAGGAAGGCACTCACCAGTCAGTGGAACTCACTGCCCCGGACAGCTCAGAGGTCCAGAGTAGTAAGAACTTTCAGAATAAACAGAATATTGGTTACCAAGTGGCTGGAGGGCATGTACATTTTAATGCTTCACAACTTAAACCAGTTTCTAAAACAAAGCAGGAGACTGAACTAGATGATCCAATCTGCCAGCCCCTGCATCCTCCTGACATTAATGGCCATGGCAGGCACACACCTGAACCTGTCTTCAAGTCTCTGCTGTTTTATCTCTTGTGTGCAAGAACAGTGCTAGAGCCATCATCCCCAGTACCAGGAGATCAGGGGGTACATGAGAATCTTGGTAAATTAGCTGGTCCTGAAAAGCTGAAGTTTGGATTTTTGTAGCTGGTGGTAATCCTTGTGTAACTGGCAGATATTTCTTAAAAAATAGCATAGTGTTCAGGAAATCTGGGAAGTGAAAAGAAAAAAGAAAAAAAAAAGCTGGATGGCATGAGCAGAAGTACAAGTTTTCCCAGAAAGGATGAAAAACTAATTTA